GAAACGGGAGCAAAAGGCGGATTCAACAAAGGTACAGTTAGTCTTAAGTCACCCACGTGCAATTTTCACCCAAACAATTGCTGGTATCTGCTGCAAATAAAAAAGTCTACACCTAACACCCGGGAGGCATACATCATCTAAGTAAGTAAATTATAAACATACAATACGTAACGTACTGTAAGTATACATCTGTAATTATGTACATTTATGATTTGGCGAGTTCCGCCCTCCTTCCTTTCTTCCTTTCATGCACCAACACTTTACATTTGTGCTCATAACAGGTGTTTCGTGCCTACGATGCCGCGAACGCAGGAAACACCACTCCGCCACACTCCCGAATTCAACGAAGAATCATCAGCCAATACTGATCGCCAAAATGCACTTCAGCATCGGTACAGTCCTGGAGATATGCATTGACTGCGCGGACAGGGAAAGAATGTGGGTGGCATGCTACGTTAGTTGTGCGCATTCGTCTCTATTTCCCGTGGTAGAATTCCGAGTTCCCATCCAGCTGTCCAGCTCCTGAGCCAACAAATCCCGACCCAAAAGACATCGCGGTACCTGTCGAAACAGAACGAAATGTAGAGAAACGACATCAATCACGGTGAAGCTAGACGATGATCTTACCAATCAAGTCATTAGATTAACACTTAGTCCAACAATAGCGCAAACTACACGCCGACGTCTCGTTAGTAGCAAAACCTCCACTGGCTCCACTCGTGTTTATTGAAATCGCGACAGCTGAAGCTGCAGAAGACGCGATTCAGTTCATCGATGGAGAGCAGCACATTTAAGTACCCTCGCAAAGGATACTGAAGCTGTTTCTGCTCCTGCTGAATACAACACATTCTACCAAAATGAATAATACAGAAACCCTGTATAATACAACCATCACCATGTAATTGTAAAGACTGCAAAGAAGAAGAATGGCAATAGCGATCTCTCGTCAGATACATGTAGAATGCAACCGTTTAAGCAAAAAATGCATCGCAACAAATCACGAATGGAAATCCATTCTTACCCAAGAAGAGGACGGAGTGAGAGCAGAGTCCAAATTCAAGTGTATTGTTTTTCAGATGTCTCTCGAAGCCTATTTGATACAGCATAAAAATGACCAAATGCTTGTTTACCTAGAGTTCCAAACCATCATCACACCAAGTAAGGCCAAAAAATTTACAAATTCTTCCTTTTCTATCCAAAATAAGAGCCATTACAGCCAAAAATATGGCAACAACATGAAGAGCGAAAGTCACTGAAAAGCGACAAGCGGAATAGAAGAGAATGGGCAATCAGCGATTTATTCAAACAAACACGTTTTATAAAATATATGTATACGAAACGGAAAACAGTGTGTAGAAAAATTGCTGCTAATTAACTAAAATTTAAAAAAAGTAAAACAGAAAAATAAAACGCTATGTGTTAGTGGTAGGATTTTGGGGAAATTAATATATACTACTTGTCAAAGTATTATAGGAACTCACAACTCACATTGCCTACCTTAGAAGGTAGGCAATGTATAGCACAGATACATTCACGTACAGTAAATAAAATCGGAAACTAGAACACTTAGTAAAATGACCTCCCATGTGGAACGTAGGCTACCCAAAGGTCAAAAAACAAATTACAGGGAGTGGAAAACGCACAAATTAACAACTGATTGCGCGAAAGGGAAAACGAGCAGCCAACAACCACTTCTGTCATTTCTCAATAGAACAGATCAAATAAAACTCAAATTGGTTCAACTTAATAAACGCAGTTCTGAGGCCTAGGTTTTGTCAACGCCCTCTGCCACATACACCGGTCTTTGACTTTATGAGTTTGTGTCACCGTTTGAATAACAATGCGAATAATCACTTT